GTTTGTAAGTGAAAACATCGAAAACATTGAAAATTAGCCATAGATGTTATATTTCACAATTTGATGTTAAAGTATATATGCCATTGACTCATCACGATAGGTTCCACAAGGAAATGCGAATTTATTCACTACGACTAGCAAACAATACCATATCGCTTTTGAGGCTCTCGTCACTAGTTCATACCAGAACCAACTTACACACTCAAGTCATTTTTACCAGTATTCCTGAAACCACCGCATAGATTTATGCTGAGCACTGAAGGAATTAGAAAGTGAATGCATTAGAATTAGCATCCTTCGAAATGTCATCTTCAATTCGACGACAAAAATATCACATTTCCCAATGCAAAAAATCACACTGAAAAATTTATGACCTCCTCAAATGATGTCATTTTCGATCAAATTGGTCTAATGGATATTTTTGGATCATGCCATTATCGACTATTATGCCATGATAGTCGACTATCATGCCATCATGCCATTACAAGCTAGTTCGGACATTTGCAANCTTTGAATTCAACTAATGAATATTTGAATAGAACCTAAAAGTGTTCAGTGAAACTTATACTGTTTCCATATTTCTAAATCGAAAGTGATTCAGCAATCGAAAAATGCACTATTCACGATCAGATGAATTATTTCAAATAAGCGCTTAATGAATTTGCCATTAGAGTTTTGTTTGCTTTCAGCGAATTTATCAGCGAATGCGATTCGTTCAAGTGCTGCTTTTGCACGATTGCACACTGCAAACAAACACTCAAACAATAATCATTCGCCATACTCAGTGTTTTGCATAAAAAGATGAATTCGAGGGAAATTTGTTCAGTTCAGAGTAGATGTTTTGAACAGATGTGAAGTGGCAGCACACAATTTCAATGGCATTTGATAAGCGCTTCTTGATTTGCTCAATAACTTAACAACTCAACAAATAACTGATGTGTTGAAAAGTAGTAAATTCTTGCTCCCATCCTCCCCACCCGGGGCCTTTTTCTTCTATGTCCATGCTTTCAGTTGGGTTCGTGATGAAGATGGTATTGCTCACAACAACCAACAAACACGCAACATTTACCTATTCCTTCAATCATTCAAAACCATTCACGCTAGCATCAGCAGAGATTGCGTGAGGTAGATGACTGAAGCACGCAACACCAACCCATACGCACATAAGTGTCATTCGAGAAATGTCATGCGAACACATCCAGTGAGAGAACAAAATCCAGTTGATTTAAATTTCCACGTAAAGTTCCTAAAAAATTGGTTAATAAATCATATGATTGAATGCCATGAATAATGAAAGAAATAATTAATGTTTCGTCATAACTTTCTGCAATTTTAATTCTGACTCTGTTCTTATCGTTATTCTTGCAGAGTCATCTAAAAGCAAGGGTATATGACCGAATGAATCGGATAAGCGATTTAAATCAAGAATCGATTAAGGATGCTTCCGTTAGTCTTTCTACTCAGCAGACATAATTTGAATCGATTGCTGACGTGAGATAAATTAGTAATTTCTTTTCGCAGAACTTCCGGTTGTAGGAAAATTTATATGTTGACCGTATATTATGACAACACAATAGATGAACATGTAACAGCTCATTCAAACAATATGCTCATAACTTATAACTTTCACTTAACTTTCATTATTTTTTGAACTTTCGATTCTATTCATTGATATTGACAACTCCAAATAATATTTCCAATTATGTGTTCATAATTTCATTTGATATGGCCTGAAATTGCAACTCAATTACATGTGAACTGAGCTTCAGGGAACTACTTCACGTGGGCGAGAGGATATCAGTTCATAGATCCGTTCAGGAAGGTCAAATAATGAAAACATGATCATCAATTAAGATAGGCAACATTGTATTGCTGCTATAATATGCTCTCGATGCTTCATTTATTAAAAAATCCTCATTTCAACTATAAAAATCTAGATTTCAGGTAGATGAACGCACGGGTGCATCCATTGGATGATAGATGTCAATACAGTACAACAGGCTCTACGATAGCCAATCACCATCCGCTTGCTACAGTATCCTGCTAAAACAACTTGACTCTGCGATGGTTTCTGAAAAATCGCTCGTTGACACGGCTCACTGGTTGATCTTCAGTGCGTCGTAGTGCACGATGCGAGGAATTTGAAATTACGCGCGAAATATGTTAATTTAATAATTTCTAGTTTGGCTTTCTACTGAATAAGCGATTTTTTGTAAATGACTACAAGAACGAGAACTTCCCGAGTTTCTTGTTCTCAAGGTTTTGGATTAGCTTTTGACATGTTCATTTGATGTAATGGATTTGAATTAGCATCTCATGAAGCTGATCAGAATGTTTGTGATCAGTCTTATGATTGCATGTCTTATGATTGCAATTGTTCTTTCGGTTTTATAATTAATTGTCCAAAGATTAGCTTGTTATTAATACAACAAGCCAAAATTTNAAATTTGCATATGACCACGGCTTTATGTCATTTTAGCATCAAGAGATAAATCATTTGATAGCGGGATTATCGGGTGCTGCGGATTGATGGCGCCTCGACGACGACTACAACAGAAGCAGGGCAGAGGATCAAGCAATGAAGTGGACGTTCCAGTTTCGGAAGCATCGGCAAGTGGTCGAGCAGCTAACAAACGTGTGAAGAGCCAGCAGAAATCAGATGTCAAGAAGAAAACTGTGAGTAGTTTCTTTTTTTTTGTGAACTAAATGTTATTTAAAATCATATTTTTGAGTTGATAACCGTGATCGATATTGTGCAGAGAATATATTGTATCCGTTCAATTTGCACACAGTTCAATATTTTGTTCATTAGTCAGGAACTAATCAATCAAAATTAGTCATAAAGAAGAGGAGTCCAACGGATTGAAATATTTTTGCTGTTCTTAACAGTTAACACCTGTTTTTTAGCACTTTACACTGATAGCACATCGTTGTTGGTTCATCCATATCTATTGTTTCATTTTATCGAATTGCGATCTTCCACGTTTTTACCAATAAATCTCTTGTTTTCTAAGCGATCTTCTAATTTGTAGCAACCGCAACAACAAGGAGGTGAGGTAACGAAATCGTCCAAACAGCGACAATGTAAAGTAGACAAAAGGACATCTGATTCGGTTGACAAAGATCCAAGTAAGAAGTCCATCAAGCAAAAGACGCTTTCAAGGAGCACTAAAAAGGTTNNNNAAAATTCTCTCCTCATTTCTCGCTTAATAATTTGTTTATTAACAAATTATTCATTCAATTCTTCTTGCAGCCAATAGCATCTGAGGAAGACGTCAACACTGTTAACAATTTGGAGAACAACGCTGAAAGTGAAACTGTCGAACTGAAAGCAGCAATGAAACCGAATAAAAAATCCAAAACAGTCAGGTTCGATGTGGAGCATTCGGAAACGGATGACGAAACAAGTGTTTTGAATCAACAACCTGTAAAAGCAACTGCACTACAAGCAAAGAGTAAATCGAATCAAGCGGTCAAGAAGAACACCAAAACTAAATCGACAACTACCAAGAGAAAGGCGTCGAATTCAACAACGAAAGTAGAGCAGGAAGCCCCAGAGACGGCAAAGGTTGAAACGGATACTAAAGAAGAGCCAGTCAAGAAAAACACCGGAGCAAAAGTGGCACGCACCACCAAAAAGAGAGCAGTCACAAAGGCAAATTCGATTATAGAACAGGAAGAAGTGATTTCGAACAACGAACAAGAATCTGATGGTAAGGTTGAAGAGGTCAAGAAAAGTGCCAAAACAAGAGGAAGAAGAACCAGGAAGAATACATCAGCAACAACGAATTCGGTTGTGAAGGAGGGAATCAAGAAAAATGCAAGGAATCAAGAAAAGGTGTCAGAATCCGGTGATGAGATCAAGCAAAGTAGAAAAAATGCGAGAGTTAAGGCGGCAAAAACTGAACCAACCGTACCAGAACTGATTACGAACAACAAAGGAAAACGAGCAAAAATGCAAACAGATGTGTCGGAAGTTGTTGAGAAGACGAAGCAACAGTCGAAGAGTACCAAAAAAACCACGGCAAAAGGCCGGGCAAATGCCAAAAAGAAGACACCAGAAGTAGACGTGAGGGCGATGGAAGTCGAAGAAAGCACAGCAGCATTGGCATCTGGAGCAGAGGATAAGGCAGATTCGGTTGAAGAAAGTACGAAAGCTGAGCTAGCAATCACCAAGAAGACGACTAGGCCGAAAAGAGCGGTGAAGCCGAAAGAATCGAAAGCTGACAAGGTTGATCCGAAAGGGAAAGTAACGAAACGACAACATCAGCAACAAAAGTCCGCTAAGCAAGCCAGACAGACTTTAGCGAAAGCGTTAAGTGTTGAAAAGGATAATTTAATGCAGCAAGCACAGTCAAAAGTTGAGAAGAAGACAATGAATAAAGTAAGAATTTATGCCATAATTCCATTACTTCTATGCATTCTTTGGTTTCATTTCATCACGTATTTCATTTCCTTTTGATGGAACATAATTTATCAGTGAGATAGTTGAATTTTTATTTGAAGAAGACACGGCAAAATTTGGTGCAGAAAGATGCGGACGAACGATCCGATGGAAATGATTCAAGCGAAAAAACGGTGGAAACTGAAACGATGAAAAAAGGAAAGAGAACGATAAAACGTGCAAAAGTGATCGTACCAAATACCGACATCAATGTGGTGAGGTTTTCAGATTATGCTCGAGATAATTTACTTCAAGTGTTTGAATTGATCACAATAATTCATTATTATGTCACTGAATATCACTTTCCTTGCACTTCTATATTCCGTTCTTGCCGCGGTCAATATAATTCTTCACCGCAGTTAATCATTAGCCTCTCGAATCTTCATTTCCATCGCTCGCTTAGCAACAACAAACTCAACTGTAACAAACTAATAAATTTTCCAAAAGCATCCAAAAAACAGTGTGCTGATTCGTTGTTTCCTTTCCTAATGATGTGTTCATTAAATTTCATTCGGAAGTATTACCAAGTTGGAATACATCTGAAAATGGCCATATGTCCTTTTCAATTGTTTTCAATTGTTGTTTATGCCAGTTATTTCTTTTTTTGTCAGGAAGATACTTCATCTGTTCCCCGATCGAAACGTTTGAATCTATTGGGTGATTGCAAGAGTGTTGACCAACAGATAGAAATGCAGGTAACGGATTCTGGTGAAGATAAGAAGGAAGAGAGGCAAATTGAGGACAGTACAATCAATGTAACAATCAACGATATAACTCCTGATGATGGGCGTTTGGTAATATTTCTTTTGTGGATTATAAACACTCAATTTTATTCGTAATGTGTAAATCCAGCTTTATATTATAGAATTTATTCAGTGTTATCATTCCTTCTGAAGTAACCATTTGAGATTTCAGCAGCAATTATCAAAGGAAAGAGAGTTGACGCCATCGGAGCTGTGTTCGTCAAAGATCGATGAAAGCTGTAAAGAAATACTTAGCGAAGAGCCACTTGAGTTACACCCCATTGTGCCAGAATCATCAAATTATCTAGCAGAATCCGCCAAAATCAGTGCAGAACAAGGCGACGGCTCACTAAATTCACATTTCGATGTAGGACAGCCATCTCCGAAACGTCCATCAGTGGCCGAAAGTTGTGACAAAGAAAGCGAAGAGTCACTTGATCTGCATCTCGACATTCTGGAATCTCCAAAACGTGGATCAGATGTGCTCGAAAGTTGCGGAAAACAACGCAAAGAATCGCTTGATTCGCATCTCGATGACAGTTACGAAAGCAGTCATCACGACCATATGGACGTATCACAGCACACACCATCAGGAGCACAGCCATCAAACGATACCGAAATGGGTGTGTTGCAGATACGATTCGTTCTACCATTATTTGAGTGTCACTTATTGATAGAATAATTTTCCGTGTGGGTAAATCGTTTGATTATGATTCAAGCGGGCGAAACTGACTTTCACTTGTGCGTAATGGCTTGAATAGTCATTGATAAGAAATTTCTTACGGTAATATTCAGGTGGGCAAAATTCGCATGCCGAACACGAAGTGCCAGTTGATCAAGAACCAACGATTGTTGATGAGACCAATCCTCCTAGCGCTATTGCAGCTGTTGATGTCAGCGATACTAATCGAGCGAAGGTGTCACCGAATTGTTCGGCAAACTCTTTTGCAAACAGTGGTAAGTGCTTCAGCTGAAAATCTGTTGGCAATCCAAAAAACTTGATAGCTCATAAGCAATATTTAGAATATCCAACAATTTGAATATAATGAGTGATGATTATTCATAAACTGTGACGATGGAGAATGAATCAGCGTAGATATAGCAATGTTCCATCCCTTCGTTGGGTATTAATTGTGATGATCCATTTAGATCAACTGGCCAGTCAAACG